ATATTATATTATATTAATTATATTACACTATTTATTGATATATAAAATACATATAAATATATTAATATATAAATTATATATAAAATATATTATATAAAATAATATATATTAATGTAAAATTATATATATTACATATTAATATTTATTTATTTATTTTATTACTATTGTATTTATTATATTATTATATTCTATTTATTTTACATATTTATAGAGAGAGAGAGACAATTCATCCTGCTTTGCCTTCAGGCTCCTCACCCCAGCTCAGCTGCTCCTTGCTGCCCCACAGGCTCTGCAGGTTTCTCTTGGCAGCCCCACACTGTGCCCCACTGCAGCTGGGGCCATGGGGAGGGTTTTACCCCCCAGCGGTCTCAGCATGGCTGGGGCAGGAGGCAGAACCCTGAACCAGCTGCTGGGGCAGAAGCACAGAGGCTTTACAGCTCCCAGCCTGTTGTGTCAGCAAAACCAGCCCTATCTCAGGACCCTTATCTGGCAGCAGTGTAAATAATTTCCAAATGAGCTGGAAGGAGGAGGAGTGACGAATGCGGTTTTGCTGGAAATGTTATCAGGTTGGGAACAGGGGTGGCTGAACACTCCCTTATCTGTCCTGGGAGATAACTGGGGTCTCTCCAGCCCCCCTCAGTGGCAGCACGGGTCCCAGAAGCATTTTACTCTGCTGTATAAAACTGAAGAGTTTTAGCTATTTGCTTTCAATTCTGCTGTTTGTGCACTTTGCTGTGTTTATTTTTCAGTGCCTTCTCTCCTCTCCCTGTCCCCTGTGCCAGTGATTAAGAAGATGCTGATGCTGTTGTGGGCTTAGGCACCTGGAGGCCAGGCTCAGAGCATCCTGATGGTGTGCAGGGAACATCAGGGTGGTGATTGAGCCCCAGTGGTCACTAAAAAAATTTCCTGTTGTCCCATATTCCCATTTAAAACCCCTGCTAAACCCCCGGCCTTACAGCAAAAACCATATAGTAAGTGTGAGGATTAAATCATGCTTTAATGCTTGCTGGGATGGGGTGTTTGAACTGCCTTGGTGCTTCAAGTTATATAATGTAAAAAACAAACAAAAAAAAGTTGTTACTGATCTATTAAAGTATTTCTCTCCTAATTTCGCATTTAAATCCAGAAGGGATGGACAGCAATGGAAAATCTTTCCTGGCTGTTGGCTCCTTAGTGCTTGGCGAGTTTATTTATGGCCAGACCAAAGGGATTCAGGTACAAAATGCTGCTCAGGGCAGTTTCCAGGCTCAGAGTGGTCACAGAAACCCTCCTTGGAATCATTCCTTTAATCTCCTCCATGAGGAACTTCCCAGGATCCAGCTGCCTCCAGTTTGGGGCACGTTACTGGCCCAGTTTTCCCAGCCAGCACTGCTCCAGCAGGAGTCAGGGCTCAAATAGCAGCCCAGGCAAGCCCAAAAGGGGCTTCATGCCAGCATCCTGCAAAAATGAACATCCCACAGGAATTTAGTTATTCCTGTGTCTGCAGGGCAGAAACAGAGGCAGCAAGATGGATTTACTGGGTAGATTTAGTTGCTGCAATAGGATGGGGCTGACATGAATCCTTGCCAAGCCCCACCAGGACACTTGAGGCAGCCCCAGAGCCTTCCAAGAAATAATGGATAAATAAAATAGATACCTATATAGAGTATATGTAAACATTATATTATCCAAAATGAGGAGGTAACTTGATTCCTTCTGATCTGCTCAATAAGAAGCCTCTGCTTTGTTTTTGCCTGTAAAAACAAGAATTGTTCCTTATTTTTGTCTATATTTGGTGTAATCAGATCCCTCCGCCACTGAACCTCATTTCCTGCTGCTGGGTACATACAAGCTATTATTGAGTATTTATTTTTCCACGGGCCTCTCTGTTTCTAATTACTTGTGCTGTTATTATGTGACAATGTTGAGTCTGCACCTCCTTTAATACCTGCCACATGCTGAGTACATTGTAAACAACACATTTTCAGCTATTTCCTGCTATTATTTACCTCTTTATTTCTGATCTTACTATTTCTGGAGATTTAATGAAGCTGTTTTGTGATGGGGTTATTGGCCAGGAGGGCAAGCAGACAGAAAGAATTATTTGTTGCTTGTTTTTTAGTCAAGTTATTCTGACCTTACCTGCTTCAGATTTGTTTTCAAAAGCCT